TGCTGGACAGGGCCTCCTCCATCCCCCACCCTCTCTGGAATATCACTTCCAGGCCCCTCCTTGGTGGCAGAGGAAATGACTGGGCGGAGGAGAGAGAGCGAGAGAGCCACAGAGAGCGTGAGAAAGAGGCACCTCCCAGCCCCAACCTCACAAGGCAGCCTCTAGACCTGGACCAAGCCCAGAGGAGGCATGTCTGCTGTCTGTCCTCCTGGGAGATCTGTCATTCTGTATTGAGGAAGGGTAGTGTGCCTCTATCTCTAAGCTTATGTGTTTGTCTCTCTAGCCAGGTTGAGGTGAGGGAAGGGTGGAGCTTTTTTTTTCTGGGTATCTGTCCCATGGGGTTATCTGTCCTTCCTGCAAGGCCTGTACATCTGTTCCTATGGAAGGTGTGTGTATCTGTCGCTCTTTGGATTCTATGTGACTATTCTTGAAACAGAGGTGGGCTATTTTTCCACCCCTGATAGAGTAGACTCTGTGAGTACCCCTGGGGGGCTGTTTTTCTGTCCCTGGTTTCTTGTCTGGTAGGAGCATCTCTGTATCCTGATGATATCCCAGTTATCACACTAGAGGCCCCTTCCCTCTAATGTGCCTGGGCGAGGGAGGGCAGCAAGTCAGCACCCCGCCCTCCCAGCTTGCAGCTGGGCACTGCTCCCTGCTAACGCAGCATGTACCAGGACAAGGCCCCCCCGCGCTCCCCTCCCCGGCCCAGCTGCCACCCCCAGCCCCCGTGGTCATGCAGAGCCTGATTTATGGTCCTAAGTAGGGGCTGGATGGTGCCAGCGACTAGGTCAGACCTTGAGGAGACCTCAAGTGGCCCCCCAGTCTAGCAGGATCAGGGCCTAGCAGGAGGTGAGGAGGAGTCAGGGTGTGGGGAAGATGAGCAGATCATGGCCCTGGGGTGGGGACAGAAGGCAGAAGCCAAGCCAGAGCCCCCAGGACCCCATAGCCTTCAGGCCAGCTCTGAGTTCAGCCAGAGACCCTGGAATGTGCCTCCTGCCCTCTGAATGTCTCTGGCTTGTGTGGGGAAGGAGATATTGGGGGGTGGGGGTGCTTTTTCTCAGTATTGCACTAACTCCTTCCTGTTCTCCCATAGGGAGCTGGAAGTTTCAAAGTCCCAATAGCCAGCCTAGGCCTTAACCAAACAGCCCCCAACTGGGGGTGAAGGAAGAACTTGGGACTGGACAGGGCAGGAGGCAGAGGTTTGGGGCAGAAAGGACTGCCTGGGACTGGGCTCTGACTGCCTGGGGAAGATAGAGCAGCTGCCAGCAGAGGCTGCAGGGCTCCAAGGCCAGGCCCAGACAGGGCTGGAAGGTGGGTGGACAGAGAGGCTCACCCTTTAGCCTCATCCTTTGAAGAGACCCAGCAGCCCTGGGGTCTCTGCCACACTAAGGCGCTGAGGGTAGGGCAATAGGTTCTTTCAGATTTCCAACCTGAAACTCCCTGGGAATCCTCAGGCCCAGCACAGCCCTGTCAGGACATGAGTTTTATAGGCCTAACACGACCGCCTCAGGGCTACGAAAGGCCGTGCCTAGCAATCTGCTGACTGGCCAGATCCGCCACAGCTGCCTTCACCTCTGACAGGATCTCTCACAGTCTTACCTCTGCAGCCACAGAGCCGGGCTGCCCTGAGGACACGGCTGCCACACAGTGAACATGCTGGATACCCAGACCCACCATGTAGCACAGTATAGTGCAAACACAGCATGGCTGCCCGTGACCCTCAGAAGTTTCTCCATCTCCTCAAGCTTGGCTGGCCCTCACCACCTCCCTCCATAACCAAATCCTGGTGTAGGGCAGCTTCCTCCACCCCAGGTTCCCAGAAAGGGATGTCCTGCATAAACCCCTGGGATGCAGAGCTCCCCCTCAGACCCTAGGGCCCAGAGCCAACCCTTCCCAGTCACAGGGGTACTTGAGGGCTCGGGAGGGGGCCAGGGACTCTGGGCACAGGGCCCAGCGTGGGTGGGGTTGGGGGAGACAGGGAGCAGGCTTCCTGGGTCTCCACATGAGGACAAACAGCAGGCTTTGAGGACTTGGAAAATCCCGCCTGGGATTCCAGGCCCTGCCGGCGTCACTGCCCTTTGACTATTGTCCCTGTCGGAAACAGGCCCAGCCCCCGGCCAGCTGGGACAGAGCGGCCATTGTGAGGCCCCACCAAGCTCAATGCCCCCTTGTTCGCCCTCCCGGCCCCTAGCAAGACTTGGAGGCCAGTTCTTCCAGTTGCTTAGTGGAAAGAAAAAGTTGGCAACCAGGCTCCAGCCCTTGGGTGGGGCAGGGTGGGGCAGGGTGGGGTTGGGGGAATCAGCCCCCTACCCTGAACCCCAATTGCCAGAGTCCTGAGAAGGAACTGAAGAAAACACCATCAATGGAGATCCTTTTATTTGTAAGGCCCTGAACTGGGACACCCAGGGTCTCCCTGCCCAGACACACCCAGTTCAGCTACTTACAAACTAGGTGACCTTGGGAAAGTCATTTCCTTTCTTTGGGATGAATCCTCCTCTGTGTAAAAATAAACGAAAAAAAAAAAAATCAAACCCACTGTCTTTGAATGGATTCCAACTCACGGCAATCCCATGTGTTAGTGAATAAAACTAAGCTCCATAGCGTTTTCTTGGGTATCATCTTTATTGAAGGAGATCACCAGGTTTTTCTTCCATCTTTCTTCCATAAGACCAGTGGATAAGTTTAAGCTGCCAACATTTTGATTGGGAGCCAAGTGAAAACCACTTATGCCACCCAAAGACCTTTGTTGAATGCAAACCATTTGCACCACACCAGAGACCTAGTGGGGAGCTCTGGTAGCGTAGTGTCTAAGGCACTTGACTGCTAACCAGAAGGCTGGTGGTTCAAACCCACCAGCCACTCCTTGGAAGGAAGGTTGGGCAATCTACTTCCATAGTGATACTGCCTCAGAAACCCAAGGAGGGGTCCACAGCATATAACAACAGAGACCTAGTGCAAACAGCTACCTCCTATTATGCTCCACTATATGCTAGGTTCTTCTCATGAGCTATTTCTAGCCCTTGCTACAACCTTACAAGGAAGATGTGGTTGTCCCCACCACACAGGCAGGCCACACAGTAGAACAGTTAAGAGCACAAATTCAAGCCAGACTACCTGAGTTTAAATCTCAGCTCTGGCACTTACTAGCTGTGGAATTTTGGGAAAGTTATGTAACCTTTCTGTGCTTCAGTGTCTTCACCTGTAAATGTGGGATTTATGATTAAATGAATGAATACATATAAAGTGCTTCAAACAGTGTCTGGCACATAGTAAGGACTCAATAAACATTAGCTATCTAGTCACAGATGGTGGGAGACTTCCCTGCAAGCTCTGCTTCTAACCAGAACACTATTACTGGACTTACCTTCTTACTACACAGATGGGGAAACCAAGGCTCAGTGAGGAAGAAGAACTTCTCTGAGAGCAGCATGAAATTGGAGGCGGAACTGAGAACAGAACCAGATCTTCTGAATCCTCATCCAAGGCTCCTTTCCCACAGCACCTTGCCAGATGCTAGTACTGTCAACAAAGGCTCACTCAGGGGTGGGGTGCCGGGGACATATCCTCCGAAGATCACAGCACTGCTGGGGACAGTGTTCTTAGTGTGCAGAACTCAGGCCCCCCACTGCCATCCCCAATGCCCTTAAGAAGACCTGACACGGGACTAACCTCTCAGAACCCACATGAGGGCATGGCTGGGGACCTCTTGTGGAATCTGCAGACTGGGATAGCCCAGAATGCCCTGGCCTCTCCCCATCTCCTGAACAGAGTAGTTTGGTCTGACTCCCATCCAGGAGGGACTGCCCCCATCCAACTAGTTACTGGGGCTGTGAAGAACTGGTTTGGGGGCTTTGCCTTCAGGGCTCCTGCCAGGTCTCTGAAAAGGAAATGAGGCAGGAGCAGCATTGAGTGTAGTGAAAAGGGCCAAGCCCTTTGTGGTGACTAGCTACTTTGGGCCTTGGGTAAAGGGTGGTCTAGGTTCACATTTCTCAGGAGGGTACCTCCAGACCACCTGCATCTGATTCACCGGGGTCTTTGCTAGAAGTACAGATTCATGGACTCCCCCTTTACCAAATTTGTCTGGGAGTAGAGCCAAGAAATCTTAAGTAAGTGATGAGCTTGGATATTGGAGCTCCTATGTGGGGGCACCTGGGCACAGATAAGGATCTCAGAATAATCTTACCAAGGCAGCAAGGGCTACCAGCTCCTTGGGTCTTCTTTCTGGGTAGCAAGAGGATAGGAAGGAATGCTGAGAATGAGACAGAAAAAACACCTTACACTGAGTGACTACTACCATTTTGCCTTACTTACAGCCAGCCCTGGGCTAAGCATTAAACACACACACTCCTTTAATCCTAACAGCTCTGGGAGGTTGGGTCTCTCCTCTTTCCTGTTTTACAGATGTGAAAACTGACTATCACAGTCATGAAATACTTTGCCCAGGTTAGGAACTAGTAGGTGACAATCCTGAGCCCTGAAGCCAAACTGTTTCTAGACCCTTGGTTAAGTCTGCCTCCACCACACACACCATAAACAACTCAGCAAGTTGACTGGATGCTTTCTACGTGTTAGAAACCATACTAAGTGCTTTATGTAACAACCTCATGAAGCAAATGTCATTATCATCCCACTTTTACAAATGAAACCCTGGTGGTGGATATGGCTAACACTCTCGACTGCTGATCAACAGGTTGGTGGTTAGTCCACCCCGAGGTACCTCAGAAAAGCCTGGTAGTCTGCTTCTTTTGAAAAATCAGCCACTAAAACCCTATGAAGCATAGTTCCACTCAAATGCAGCACTGTCACAAGTTAGAACTGACCCAGTGGTAACTGGTTATTGCTTTTTCACAAAAGAGTAAAGAGAGGCCTATTAACCCAACCCAGGTAGGTAAAATTCAAGATTTATTCAGAGCCACTCTTATCGCTCCTACTTATGTAATTATGGGTGCGTGTGTGTCTGTGTGTAGGAGGCAGGAGACAGGGTATCAGAGATAGAATCCCAGTTTCAGCTACATGTCTATTTTTTATTCAATATATTAAATATATTAATCAGAAAAGTCACATACTATAAATCCAGGAAAATACACAAATATAAATGTCAGAATCTGTCATTTGTCTTCCTCCTACAGTGACAGTTATGTACACGTGGAAGGAGGGTGGGAAGAGAGAGCAAACACAAGGAGGCTGGAAAAGACTAGCCCAGGCTGGTGGGGGGCCCTTATCTCTTCTTCCCAACCCCCACTCCCACCTCAACTTCTTCCTTCCTGTATTTACAGCAGCATTCAGCTTATTTACAGCATGGCAGTGTGTGTTAAAAACGGTTTATCTTATAAAAACATGAAGGCCAGGGGTTTGGGGGGGTAAGACAAATAGTGCGGGGGTCACTCCCATGAATGCACTCTCCTCCCCCAGGGCTTGAGCTTCCTGCCGACATCCTAGAGCAAATGAGGAGATCAGTCAGTCTGCAGCTCAAACCCAGCTGAGGGGCAGGCAATGCTCTAGGGTTCGTGGGCCATGGGCTAAAGGCACGTGGGGTGGTATACGAGTGCACACACACATGTGCACGGATATTCCCAGGCTGGGGTCAGAAGGGCAGCGTGTCCATAAAGATCTTGTCAACGATGGGTGGAGGGGGCACCAAGTCCTCCAGCTTGAGGTAGAAGATGCGCTGCAAGCCCTGTGTGCACAGGGTCCGCAGCTCAGGCAGCTTGCCCAGCAGGCGGGACAGGCAGCTGGCCGGCTGGGGCTCACCCGCCACAGACGAGATGTGCTCCTTCAGGCAACTGGCAATGCGGTTCTGCAGCTCCTCCACCCGCCGTGGCTCCTGCAGCCCGTGCCGGTCTGCGAACAAGGTGTGGGCTTAACCACCCGTCCAAGGACCAGACACCCCAAAGACCCAGCCTCCCCTGCGTCTGAGCCCTGAAGGATCAACTTCTGCCACTGACCATTCCTCATACTTCTCTGGCACTCTGTAAAAGCTTACACGCACACGCAAGCCCATTTTCAAGCCCCATAGTGATACCACCGCGGAAACCCAAAAAGGGGTCACTAGGAGTTGGATCCAACTTGACAGCAATGCCTTTTTGTTTATCAGAAGCCTATGAGGGCAATGGCACTCATTGTCCTTATATCCCAAATGAGAAACTGAGGCCAAGAGAGGTTATATGATTTGCCCGAAGTCACAAAAAAGAAATAAAACTCTAGCCTTTCTGGCTAGGCCACCCCAGACTGTTCTGAAGCGTCTTGGCACTTTGGCAGCAGTGTTTCAGAGGCTACCACCAGGGAGAGCTAGCTTTGAACCCACAAGTCTTTCTTCAGCCCAGAGGGCTTCTAATTTTGCTTTTTATGCTAGAGTTCCATGTGAAAGTTAAGGGGAAAAAGGTTGTAATGGGCTCCAGTGCTTTAAAAAATAAAAAGCTATCTGAAAACTCCTATACTTGACCCCAAAGAATCCATCCTCTTTGGACTCAAGTGTTCATACGTAAATGTATTAAATGTGTAATAACAATTACATGAAGTACAAAACCAGGCACAACTGATCCAAGGTGTCAGAAGTTAGGACATTAGGACAGTGGTTACTCCTGGGGGAGAAGATGGCGGGAAGGAGCACAGGAGGGGTTCTGGCCATGTTCTGTTTCTTGATCCAGGTGCTGGGTACTTAACTGTGCTTAGTTTGTGAAAATTTATCATTTCTGCCTTTTTCTGTATGTGTATACATCAGTAAAACGTTTTCAAAACAAACAAAAACCCTGGGCCACGTACTTGCCACCATACAGTCTAGATCCTGGAGAACACCAGCCCATACCACTCGTTGTCACTGAGTTGACTCCAACTCATGGGGACCCCAGGGGTGTCAGAGTAGAAGTGTGCTGCACGAGGTTTTCAAAGGCTGATGTTTTGGAAGTAGACCATCAGGCCTTTCCACCAAAGCATCTCTGGATGGACGTCAACTACCAATCTCTCAGTTAGCAGCCAAGTGTGTTAACTGTTTGCCCACCCAGACACTCCAGACTCTGGGGTCCACCAAAAATAACCCACCGCCACTGAGTTGATTCCAACTCATAGCAGACCCACAGTGACCCTATAGGACAGTAGAACTGCCCCATAGGATTCCCAAGCCTGTAAATCTTTACAGATGCAGACTGCCTCTTCTGCCATGGAGTGGCTGGTGGGTTTGAACCATTGACCTTTTGGTTAGTAGCCAAATGCTTTAACCACTGTACCACCAGAGCTCTTTGGATATTGGGTTGCCAAACCAAAACCAAACTCACTGCCGTTGAGTCGGATCCAACTTGCAACGACTGCTCCTTGGGTTTCTGAGGCAGTATCACTACAGAATTAGACTGTCCAATCCTCCTTCTGAGGAGTGGCTGGTGGGTTTGCACTGCCAGCCTTCTGGTTAGCAGTTAAATGCCTCAGGCACTATGCCACCAGAGCTCCCTCCTTTGTGACCCTATACAACATAGTAAAACTACCCCCAAAGGATTCCCAATGCTGGAAGTCTTTACAGAAGCAAAATGCCTCATCTTTCTCCCAGAATGGTTGGTGGATTTGAACCACTGACCTTTTGTTTAGCAGCCAAGTACTTTAACTACTGCACCATCAGAGCTCCTAGGATTCTGGCTGGTCTGGGGTAATTCAAAGACTTGATTGATGGGGCTTTGGAGTTAGATGCAGCGAGGCTGCCCCCAGGTCTACCGTCTACCAGCTGTGCTACTCTGAGCAAGTGTCTGCCTCTCTCTGACTCTTATCATCCATTCTTCACAGGCAGCTATGAGCAGGTGGCCAAGAAGTGCTAGGTATCAGCCCACTCAGGGCCATGCTTTCAGGTCCTCTCCATTGCCTAGGACAGCACCCTCTTGAGAACCAGCCAGCACCTCTATTCCCACCCCTCCCTGAATCCCAAGGACCCAGCTTGGTGCTGGCCACTCACCGGTGATGAGGACGAGAGCTGACAAGCAGGCAAAGGCAGGGACATCGACAACCAAGCTGTGGAGGGACCGTGAGAAGGCTAGGATGTTGTCAATCCAGTCGCCAAAGCCACGGGCACACTGCAGCCGATGTAGCACCAGGCCTGAGCAGAAGATGAGCTTCCCCTCACCAGGCTTGGACCTGGTGGGTGGCAGACACAAGTGGTGGTCAGGGTAGCTCAGGGGCAGGGCGGCAGGGGGAAGGGGCCAGGCAGACAGCAGGCAGCTCACCGGTAGGCCAGGCGGAGGATGAAGAGCTCCAGAAAGGCCGACTCCAGCAGCAGGTCCTGGTCACTGGGTGACAGCTCAGCAAAGCCAGGGATCTTGTCGGCCCATTTGCGGATAACCTCCAGGGAACCCGAGAGCAGATCGTAGAACTGCTGCACATCCCCAGCATCTTCCTTCCCAAAACGGGGCAACAGCAACTCCTGGAACTAGGAGAGCAGCCCATTGGGGTCAGAACCCCATAAAGGCCCCATACCAAGGCCACCATGCATGGCTGTTGTCATGCACTCAGATGCCCAATCACAGGAGAGAGGAGAGAACGGAAATTCAGCCCACGCATTTGCTTGCCAATTCTCACATATTATCCCAGGGCTGTGCTCCTGGAAGGAACATATTTTTCTAATTGGGCCCCTGAGGGGTATAGTTTTCCATCTGGTCAACCCAGAAGTGGCTTCTCTTTTTTTCAGTGTATTGAGCTAGAGGGTGAGTCCTTTTTAATGTGCACAAAGGCACTCAAGGTGCTAGCAGCTGCATTCCCCAGAGCAGGAGCAGGGTCGAGTAGAGTGAGATCTCACCTTGGAATAGTCCAGTCTGGTAGTGCTGGGCCCTGAGTCCAGATGTGCCCGGACCAGGGAAGTGAGGAGGTTGGCAGGGGAGGCATCTGGGGGCTGCTTAGGTTTTGAAGGGAGCCGGCCCCGTCGCCCCTTCAGACTGTCTGTCCGGACAACTGCAGAGAAATGGGCAAGGTGAAGAAGGGAGGAAGCAACCCCATGTACTCTTAGCTAAAAGCCATGTACACCAAAGCTGGGAAGCACTGAGCCCCCGAGACCCAGGAGACCCTAAAGAGACCTCCTCCCATCTCTCTCACAAGCCAGGCTGGTGGAAACCACCCTGGACTCCCAGCCCCCACCTTCAGGGGACTGGAGGTGGGAGTGGAAAGAAGGTGCAGACACGTCCTCCCCTGTGGCCCACCAGAGCAGCTGTCTGGGGGACTTGCCCAGTCCCACCTGCTCAGCCCCGCCTGTCCCACTGGCCCCATCCACAGCCACCCACCTTCCTTCACCATGCCCACAGCCAGGCATTTCTGGAAGCGGCAGAACTGGCAGCGATTTCGCCTCCTCTTGTCCACAGGGCAGTCCTTGTTGGCTAGGCAGATGTACTTGGCGTTTTTCTGCACTGTGCGCTGGGGGAGGGGGGGCAACACGGAACAGGCTGTCAGAGAATGGGGTGGGGAGGGGGGAAAGTCCAGGGGAGGGGACCGTCCAGATCCTGCTGCTATGGCAGACAAAAGCGTTCTCTGTTCACAGCTATTTTTCTAACATTTGGGTGGCAGGGGAGGGAGAGATGGAGGGATGGGGGGAGGAAGAGGAAAGTCTTGGGGGCACTAGGGGAGGTTTCTGCCTCAAGGGGAGGACCCCAGGACATAAGGGTCAGGAGCTGAGGTTCCCCAGCAGTCCTGACATCTATACTTTTTTACTGTGCCTGTGTCCACCTGCCCCTTTCCTGGGGCAGACGAGAAGGCCAAGGAGGGGCTGGGGACAGGAAGCTAAGCAGGCACCCAGTGCTGGGACAAACACACAGCCTGTTCCTCAGTCCACCCCCAGCCCTCAAGCACCAAGTCCTCTGCCCAGATTCTTTCATCTTATGCCAGGAACACGAGTGCATGGGGCCCCCCTTCCACTAGGACCTTGAGTTGGGGGAGGGCAAGCAGGGGAAAGTCAGAGGCTGGCATCAGAACCTCCCCTTCTCATATCCCCACGGCCTGCACCCTCTGCCCATGTCACACACCACCTCTAGCTCTCTGCAGGCCTGCTGGCCCATTCCCATCTCTGTGCAAGTCCATCTGGTAGTCTCACTCTCTTGTTGCCAGGCAGGACTAGTTGGGAGGAGAACCCAAGGCAAGCTTCAGATCCCACTGGACAGAGACACCTGCATGTCCCCACTTCCTACCAAAAGCACAGCTAGAATAGCATAGTACCTTGAAGAAGCCCTTGCAGCCCTCACAAGTACGGACGCCATAATGCTGGCATGAAGCGTTGTCCCCACACACGGCACAGCGGCCCTCACTTCCACTGGGAGCCCCACTCAGGGCTTTGGCCGAGGTCACAGGTACATCCAGCAACCTCGAGCTGTCAAGGTGTGGGGAGGTGGGCGCCAGGCCTGGGAAAGCTGTTGGCATGGAATAGCTCTCACCTTCCACCAGCTGGTGGGTGGCCTGTGAGGGGAACAGCTTCAGGGGGCTTTGGGCAAGGCTGGGGCTGGGGCCAGTGGGGACACCGAAAGAGAAGAAGGCTGGGGGCTGGGGGGGCCCAGAGGCCTTGGGCAGCTGCTCTGTCCATGCCCGCAGGCCTTCGTAAGTCTGGCTGGGTGAGAAATGGGCAAATGAGCCATCCCAGGGAGAGAGCTGGGGTTGCTGGAAGCTGGGCGTGGACGGTGATGGGACTGAGCAGGGACTGCCGTAGTAGTCAGAGCCGCTAGAGGACAAGGTCTCGTCCAATGGGCCGCTCAGAGTGCCTGGGTAGCAGCCATACACCTGGAAGTCCTCGAACTTGAAGGAAGTAGAGGCAGGGGAGGTGGCTGAAGATGAGGATGTGGAAGAGGCTGAGGAGGAGGCTGAGGAGCACGGCTGGGCTGTTCCTGGCAGCTGGTAGAGGAAGGTGTCAAACTCTCCAGTGTAGCCGTCCATGAAGGTGCTGAAGCTGGGCAAGGCAGTGGGGGCAGCAGGGACTGTCTCAGGGGTGGCCAAGTCCATGGTGGGCTTGTTGAGCTCAGGGGTCAGGGGGTCGCTTGCCAGATGGTCACGGGCTCCTGGGCTTGGCGCTGGTGTCCCATATTGGGCTTGGATACAGGGCATCTCTGAAGAGGGAGAAGAGCCAAGGAAGGGGAGGGGAGGAGTTAGTTCGAGAAGCCTGAAACCTCATTTCAACATATAGGCCCCAGAGGCAGCCAGGTGGCAGGAATCCCAGACAAGAGATGGGATACCAAGGCCTTAGGGCTATGACCAATCATAGTATCCAGGATCCTGACCCCTGGCCAGAGCACCATCTCAACCTAAATGCCACAAAGTCCCCAGGCAGTGACCCAGCAAGAGTGGGCTCAGTCAGAAGGCCAGCCACACCCCAGTCGGCCTGGGAACCCTCAGGAAGGCATCTGGCCAGCATTTCTCCGCTGGAACAGGAGGAAGCTGTGTTCCTCCAGCCCCCCGCCCCTCCTCCACCGGGTAGGGGCTAGGAGAAGGGTGAGTGGGAGAAGCAGGCAGGCAAAGCCTTATGCCCAATCCCCAGGAGCAGATATGTTGTTTCTCCAACCAGGCTCTTTCTGGGAATATTCCCAGGCACAGCCCAGGATTCTGCAAAAGCCCTTCTTCTCCATCCTGCACAGTACCTGGGAAGAAGAGCATCCTGGATAGGGAAGAGGGACTGGGAGTGAAGATCCAGAGCCTGCCCTGCCTAAGAAAGCAGCCTAAGAAGCAATGCAGCCGCCCCGACCTTGCCCACATCCCAACCCCCATCTACGGACTGAGCAAAGGCTGCAGATCCCACGTGTACCCCAGTTCTGCCATCTGGGGCTGGGCTCCCATTCTGCGCAGCCTGGGATGCTCCCAGAAGCAAAGAGGAAGGGAACCCAAGTCTCCTCACCCTGTTCCCAGCTCCCTAGGGCATCGGGAACCTGGCTTCAAACCTTTAAAGGCCATATGCTGGAGAAAGTCTGAGGGGGAGAGGGAGAGGGAGAAAACAGCCCCCTGGACTTCCAAGGGAATGGACAGTCCCTAAGAGGAATTTCCCTGCTACCCTTTCAGCACTTCTCCTTGTTCTTTTTACAAGAGAACACTCAAAGAAAAGATGAAACGACTCTGTTGTAACTGCTCTCATGCCTAAAATCCTTACTTTATCTCCAACCTGTATTTCCCCCTTGGCAATTACATATCTAAATTTCTGAACTCAAGTACAGATTCATCTTTCCTTCTGAATTGCTGCTGCTTATAAAATATTATTAAGGCATTTACTTCATTAGTTCTTTGTATCTACCAACTAAAAAAAAGAGAGAAAACGCTGAGAGCCCAGCAAAGGACATAAACAGGTTATGCGTGAAGAAGAGGGCTCCACCTGCCTAGGCCCCTCCATTAAAGCAGCATCTGTGTCCTGAAGAATCCAGGGGCTCAGGTTTTGGGCAAGGCAAAGGGGGCTAAACATCCCCAACTATGAGGGGCCTGGAGGAAGAGAGAAAGCATCAGTCAGGGGATTCTTAAATTCACAGACTGTTCAAAGTAACACAAAGGAAGCTCCAGGACAGGTTCTCTCCCCCAATTCCCTGCCTGGGGTCTGTATAACCTCACAGGGAGGGGACCTGGGCAAGAACTCAAGCTGGAACACAGCATACAAGAAGTACAGCAGATGGGAGCAAAGGCTGTCATTACCCTTTGGCCAAGAACCCAGGGAGTCCTCTGGCCCTAGCCATTCTCCCACCGACATGGACCCTACATGGCACAGGTCTACTCCTGACCTGACACAGGACCGACCCAGCCAACAAATCCCCTCAGAGTTCTGGCCCCACCCACCTGGAGGGTCCGTCCACAGGCAAGCAGCCCTGGGCACCTGCTCAAGATAAGGGTAGCCACGTCTCCCAGCACTAGGACAGCCTGGATAGGGATGGGTTGAGGGTGGAGGAGAGCCAGCAGCCTCCCAGGGCTGGGCGTTCCAGACTTACTCAAGTCCTGTTTCTCCACTTGGACGTCCCACATCCGGATCAACCCCTATCAATCTATGAGCCCCCCCCCAAGCTTCCAAACTAGGCAGGTACTTAACAACACAGAACCTACATCCAGCCCACCACCACCACCCCAGGGCAGTCCCAGAGAGAGGAGGAAGAGGTGGGGTTGAAGGAGGGAGTGGGGAGAATCCGGCTTCAGGCAGGTCCTGGCAACAATGTGGTTTGCACCTGTTATGTTGAACAAGCCTGAGGCTGCACCCTACCTGTGAGATCCAACAGAGACTGGGTGGGGGGGGGGAGCAAGGAGGTAATCAGCATTCCAGGCTCCAGTGGTGGGGTGTGAGGATCCCATAGGTAGCCCCACACAAGAGGCTCCTACATTAGCAACTGTCTCCAAAATCCCAAATCCCTCCCCAAGGACAAGGGTTTCCACATTTTTCTCTCTACACACACACACACACACACAATCCAAGCCACAGTTAAAACAACACTCAACTGTGCTTCCAGAGAGAGACTGCCCCTGCTTCTGCCCCTAGAAAGACTCACTTATTCCAACACATAGCAAGCACCCCCTCCACAGTTCAGCCACCAATGCTACCTATTCCCTTTGGTAGTCCGGAGGTCTATGGACACAGGCCAGACAAAAGAAAAAAAAAAACAAAGAAACACTCAGGAGCCGGAATCATTGCAAACTAAGTTACAGTCCTAAAGTACGCAACTAGAGGAGGCTTTCCAGACTGGCAGAAAGAAGACCCTTACGGAAATCCGAGCCGACCGATGATTCCAACACCGCTGAAGCTCAGACCCCCATCAGCACCCAAGTCCAAAGCACCCTGCGCCAACTTCGGCACCTTGGGAGATTGAACTTAGTCCAGCTGCTTGCTGGACAAGTCCTCACTCCTGGCGCCAACCCCAACCTCCTGCGGCTTCCACCTTGCATACACCCCCCCCCCACCTCCGGCGCCCAGCGGAGTCCAGTCCAATCTGGGTCCTCGTTCCGCTCCAACCGCTACCTTCCAAGCCTAGAAGAGCACCGTAACCCGCTCTCCTGCATGCCGACCCTACAACATCCTTTCTACCCGCGCGTACACTTCCTCTCCTTCATGCAACACCCCTAAAACCTAACACACAGAGATCCGCTCAAATGCACGGTCTCCGTGGGGCACCTACCCGGCTGGCTCCTGCTCCTCCTACCCGGGACCGGCGCCCGTCTTGAGACGCAGTCTGGACCCGCGTGCGCTCCCGCAGTCTCCGCACACTCCCCCAAGTTTCACAGCCTCTGCCACTGGGGCTCCACCGCCCCGCCGGACCTTCCTCTTAAGCGCTCCGTGACGCACGGGGAGGGGCGGGGGCGCCACTGACGCACGCGGCCCGGCGAGCTTTGGCCTTACAAGGGCGCGGGGGGCGGTGCGGTTCCGGCGGGAGGCGGACAGAGGGAGGCGCGCGGCCGGGGAGCCCGAGGGGGCGGGGCGAGAGGGGGCCTGGAATGTCTGCGCGCGTGACGCACGCGGGGTTCCATTGACGCAGGGAGCGCGGAGTGTTTGATCTATAAATAGTCCCCTCGCGCCCGCCGCGCCGGCTAAAAATAGCTGCTCCCCCATTCGCCCCGCTTCCCCCACCAGACTCGGAACCCGGTAGGGGAGCCTCCAGGTCCGAAATAACCAGCTGGGAGGGCCTGGGCCCGAGAAGAGGGCGCGTGAGGGCTGCGGCCGCGGGGCTTCCCCGAACAAGGATCTCCTCGCCCTCCGCCTGCTCCCGGGATCCTCGGCCGCGCCCGGCCCCTCGGCTCCCTCTGTGCCGGGCTCCGCCTTTGCCCCCTCCCAATCGCTCCTTGGAGGCCTGGGGTATCGCCCTCTGCTGCTGCTGGGCCGCCAGGGCAAGCCTAGGGCTGGGGCGGGCAACTCGGACACACCCTGGCGAGCCTGCGCCCCACCTCCGCCCAAAGCGCAGTTGTGCACTTGGCCCTTCTTTCGCCTTTCGCAGCAAGATCTCAAGCCTAGAGGTTACCCATCGTTAAGCCTAGAGGTTACCCCTAGAGACATCAGTTTGGGCTGTCCTTACTTCCTCCCCCCAATTCTCCACGCAAAGTTTTCGGCAGAAGTGCCTTTCCCAAGGCCGGGCTGTGCCAGGCCCAAACTCGGTCGTTGGGCTCTGCTCCACAGGCTGAACCTGAGTTTTCACCAATTCTCTCTCCAGCCCCTTACAAAGTGAGTGCACACTACTTGGAAAATTACCAAATTTCCTAACCGCATGGAGCCTGAGAAATCTTTTCAAGAAATTTATGCCAACTGCTCACCATTTTATAAATAAACAGGCTCAGAGAAATAATGGCACTTGCTCAAGGTCACACAGCAAGGTGGTGGCATCCTGGGGTGAAGCCCAGAAGCATTCAAGGGATCTTTTCACACTCTCCTACCACTACACACCCCCTCCCAAAGGTCAGGGAGCACCCGAGCTCCCAGCCCACCCTAGCACCTGTGGAAGGAACAGTTCTGACCAGGTATAACCTGCCTCTTGGAGGAAAGAAGGGCCTGGACGGGCTTATCAGGACACAGACCAAGCTGCAGCCACCTGCAGCCTTACTTTAGTTCAGCTGTCATCCTCTACCCTATCCCACCACCAGCCTGGAGCCCCCTCGCCAGATAGGTAAGAGAGGAAGGATTAAGGGCTAATATTTACAAGGGGAAGGGAGTCACCCATTCCCTTTCTCCTCTGTAAGTCAACATCAACAGGAGTTTCTGCTTCAGCTAAGCCTGCACCCACCCACCCGCTCACTTCATCTGGTCCTCCTCTGCCCTTCAGGCAATTCCTGTTCACTTCCACTCTCACCTCCTCTCACAGATTTCCCACATTCATGTCCCCAACCCCCAATTCTACCCCTCCAAGGGTCCTGCAAGTGCCTGGGGCTTATCCCAACAATTTATCATCTCCCACCCTTTGTCCACCCCCATCTCTGTTCCTGATGCTCCACAGGTGACACTTCATTTTGTCCTGAAATTCTCTCTTGAAACATCTCTCTTGGGTTCCCTCATTCCTATGGCCAGTACAGACCACACTTCCACAGACCAACAGAATGAGCCCAATGACTTCTTCTCCTTATCTACACCCAATAAGAAAACCACCCCTTAACCAGTCTCTTTCCTCTGTCTAAATCACCCTGTCCACTACAGATGGAGAACTCATTATTTAATACCAATCACATTAAGTGATCTGGTTAGAACCTGTCATGGCTCCCTGATAACCAAATAAACCAAACTCACTGCCATTGAGGCGTATCTGACTCATAGCAACCCCCACTGGGTTTCCAAGGCTGTAAATCTTTACGTAAGTAGATCACTCCAACTTCCTTCTGCAGAGCAGGTGGTGGGTTTGAACCACTGACCTTCTGGTTAGCAGCCAAATGCCTTATCCACCACACCACCAGAGCTCCTAATATTTCAATGTATTCAGACCTCTGGGTTTTTCCAAACCATCTTCCATGGACCCTTCAAGGCCACCTGGATCAGAGTGATACATACATGAGCAGGGCAGTATAAGTGGGACCCATGCAGGACTCCCACCCTACTCCAGCCCAAGGTTTGTTTTTCTTTGCGCTTTTGCATACAATTTTACTTGGAAAAAAGGATTCCACAGCTTTAAAAAAAAAAAAAAAAGGTTTGACAGGAGCTGTGGTGGCGGAGTGCCTGAGGCACTTGACTGCTAACCAGAAGTTTGGCAGTTCAAACCCACCAGACACTCCGCAGAAGGAAGACTGGGCAATCTACTTCCATAAAGACTTAACGCCTCAGAAACCAAAGGTGGTTGCTGTGAGTTGGAAGCGACTTGATGGCAGTAAGTCTGCTTTTTGTTTAGTACAATTCAAATCCTCTCATTTTGCAGATTGGGACCCAAGGGTTCAGAGAAGAGCTGCACCTTGCTCAGGAGCACACAGCAAGTCTGTGCTGGGTTAGACTGGATCCGGCTGTGGCACAGACTGGCTTGCCCACCTATCCCAACTCTGCCCCGGGATGCCCCCCTGCACCCTAGCAGGGCCTTCCTCAGATTTAGTATGTCTGCAAAATATATTAGGCAGGTCAGTGTTCCTGCCTCCATCCAATATCCCAGCAAAACACAGGTGATTATCTGCAGCTTGATCTATCTCTGCTCATGACCGGCCTTAGCTCTTTCAGTCTTGTCTGTCTTGAACCCTAACCTCCTCTTCTCCTCCCCACCATCTTCCATTTGTAAAAAGTAGCACAGGCTATCCTTGAGCCCCAGGGAATTCAAGCAAGAAGAAGAGCTGGCCAGGCCCTTGGCCTAAATCTCAGCTTCAAGAGCTGTGCCAGCAGCCCAGACCCCGCCTCCCAGGGCTGTGAGGCTACTGCAGGCTGTGGAGGCTGCGGTCTCCCTGCCCTTAAAGAGAGGACCAAAACCAAAAAACCAAACCCACTGCCGTCTAGTCGTATCCCACTCATAGGGACCCCTCCTTGGGTTCCCAAGGAGGTATCACTACAGAAGTAGATTGCCAAACCTTCCTTCTGAGGAGTGGCTGGTGGGTTTGAACTGCCAGCCTTCTGGTTAACAGGCAAATGCCTTAGGCACTAGGCTACCAGAGCTCCTTAAAGGGAGGAAGAGGGAGACAACTGCAGCTGCCACCTGGCCACGCCCTCAGGGGACACTGAAATTTCTGAATAGACCAAAACAAACAAACTCACTACTCTTCCAATTTAGAGTGACCCTACAGGACAAAGAAGAACTACCCCATAGGGTTTCCAATGCTGTAAGCCTTTACTGAAGCAGAATGCCTCATCATTCTTCCACAGGGTGGCTGGTGGGTTTGAACCACCAAACTTTTGGTTAGCAGCCAAATGCTTTAACCACTGTGCAACGAGAGCATCCTTCTGAATAGAATATACTCTGAAAATACATAAGCATAAAGCAAACAAGGCAGAGTCCCTTGGTGGGAACACAGCTCCCATTCAGACAGAGATGTGCAGCATCTAGCCCAAGACAGGGGAGAGAGGCCAAAGGGGCTGGGCCAGTCAGAGGCCCTCCAGGGATGGTGGCCTGGGGGCTCTGGGCAGGGTGGAGTCCAGCAAAGGTGCAGCTCTAGGGAAAGGCATTATTGACAGACTTTAGGAGGCTTAGAGTATAAGCTGGTTCTAGGTTGGGTGGAGACCCTCAATAGACCCCCATGGCCCAGCCTTCAAGAGTAAGGTCAGTGTGAACTGCTCATTGGGGGTGACAAAGGACAGGTAATGATAAAGCAAGTAATGATGGAAGATGTGTCCAAAATTAGAAACTAGGGCCAGAAGGTAAGGCAGGGCTGTGATAACACAGGAAGGGCAGAGAGAAAGAGATGGCATGCTGGAGGCCAGAGACAGTGCCACACACTCAGGCCGCCACACCATGGCCCAAGCCTACTGTCTGCCCTCATTACCCATACCTCCCCACTATTCCCCCGTAAGAACCTTCCCCACTACATGCTTCATATAATTTCACTCACTAGGCACATCGTTCATCTTCCTCCATTCTACTCTAATCCTGCTCACCCTCCAACACTCCAGTTCAAATGCCACCCCCCCAACGCTAGCCCTCAAACGCTAGCCCAATTCTTAATAAGTACCTTCTCTTGCTGGAAGGAACTAACCTCCACTGCATACCAAGTGTCAACCCTTCTTCCACTTAACACTTTCCTTAACCTTTTCAGGTTTGGAATTCCGATTCATATCTGATAAATGAGGAAATAGAGGCAAAGGAGTAGTATTTAAACTCAGGTCCCATACCTTGTTGTTATGTGCTGGACCCACTGCCCTTGACACTGAACTCTAGAAGCTTTGGCTTCTGCCCCCTTGGGTCTTGAGTTCTTATCAGTACACCACAAAACCAGGCGCACACATGTGGTCGGCAAACTGAAAACAGCAGTGCCTGCAAGGGGTTCTTTGGGGAAACTGGTAGCATTCTAGTTCCTGATCCAGACAATGGCCACTGGACGTGTTCACTCTAGACAAGTCACTGAGTTGCACTATCAGGGCTTTATACCTATGATTTATGCACTTTTCTATATGTTGTATTTCCCTTTCCCTCCAAAAAATGTTATTGTTGTGTGCTATTAAGTCAATTCTGATTCAAAGTGACCATATAGGATAGAGTAGAACTGCTCCATAGGGTTTCCTAAGCTAAACTCTTTACAACAGAAAAGCCAGGTCTTTTCTACCACAGAGCAGCTGGTAGGCTCAAACCACTAACCTTTCAGTTAACAGCCCAGTGCTCAATCATTGCACCACCAGGACTCCTTTACTTAAAAAATAGCCTTGCCCTCCAGAGGCAGGAATGCATAGGAAAGAAGAACAC